GCCGTGTGGAAATCTGGTCAGGTAGTGTGGTTTCCTCAGCTTTTCGTTAAACGTCCTAACTTATTCCAATCGACCCCAAACTCGTGCCCAAATCTTCATTCTCATACTAGGACCTGAAATATTACAAATAAGAACAACCTAGCGTGAAATCGGTTTAAAACACCAGAAATGAGACTCAAACAGTACAAGAATGGTGGACAAAAACATATGTATATATCGAGTCATCATCCGACTAGGGTACAGTCGTCCAGTGGCAGCCCAAAGTACCGGGCAAGCTGAGTGATGAAGGCCCCGCCCTGTAGTGTGGCGACCTTCGAGTGGATCCTCACTCGGCAGAAAGAGATCGCGATAACGGAGCCTAGGTTGAGGTCGTCCTGGGCACAACTCATGGAGATGAAGGCGTACATGTGACGCTTCGTTACCTGCCCGGAAGCCTCCTAGCTAGGAATGACGGAGTGAGCGAGAAACGCCTGGAGGAAATGCCACGGAGCCTGCAGTTAGGTGGCCCGGGTCCTGCTGTGAACGTAGGGAACCGCAGCATGCTCGTGCAGGCAGATCCGCTCAAAGAACCCCTAGTAGTCGGCGTGCGAAAATTAGGCTCGACCTCGAACATCTTAATGAAGTCCAGACCGAGGGCGGTGCTGAAATCATGGTAGCTCAAACTGTGGTGGTGCACACCAAGACTGAAGTTGACTGCGCCCTCATGGTAAAGCAGCTTCTTCCGGACATGACTGAAAGTGTTGTAGAACTTCAGAGTGACTGAGTGAGCTCCTCGTAGATGAGCTCTAGCAGGCGGCTCCACTAAGTGTGAGGGATGGCCGTCGCCATGGCGTCGCGGCAAAGGAACTGGTCGAAGTAGGCGAGATTGAGTGTGTAGTGGCACCCAATCTCGACCGTCTGCATTTTTGCGAACGCCGCATCGTAGGCCTCGGTGTACCGAAGGCCCTGGAGAAAGGCATGGTCTAGGTTGACCATTTTCCTGCAAAACAGATAACCACACCATAGATAGGCAATGACATTCTCCCACCTAAACATCTAAGCTAGCAAAACATATTCAAAACACCCTACTCTCTACAATCCGATTCTCCAAAAAGACAAATAGAGGTAAACAGAACAACTTGGAGACGCAAGAAGGAAGGGAGAGCGGGGGAGAAGGCGAGAGAATCCCCAACAGATTCGGACCCGGGACAAGACCGTCGGGGGTCTCCAGAGGCTATTTTTGGCAAGGACAAAGTTCTAAGATGGGGTAAGGGAGTGCCGGAAGGTGCACCTTGTCGAGGGGAACCTAATGCTGCAAACGGCACCTTGACAGGAAAGTCAGCGAGAAGGAATCGGCGATGCGGAGTTCTCCAACGAAGGTGGGCGAGATTATGGTGCGGAGTAACGGGAGTACCACGCCCTTTTATAGATGAAGCCTAAGTTACGCCTTTATTGGGCGAGTTAATGTCGTAACTACTTGACTCAGAGTGAGTCGTTCAGTTACGGGATGATCGGGTGAGTTTTGGCGGTAACCGAGGCCGTAACTCGCTGATCGCCTAAGACGGGAGAGTTACGGGCTGGGGAAGGAGTTACGGGTGAGGCTGTAACTTCTCCCCTTTTCTCGTAACCATTTGGGGTTTCTGACTGGGAGTTATGGGCGAGGCTCGTCAGTTACAGCCATGACCGTAACTTAGAGCCTTTGCCCGTAACTTCTGGAAATCACCCCCAAGTCGTCCCGAGAGGGCTTCTAGAAGTTATGGCTACGCCTCCAAAGTTACGTCCATGACCGTACTTGAAGCCTCAGACCGTAACTTTTGAGAAGCTTCTACCTGTCTCCGCCCAAACGCGCCAGAATCGTTACAAACCACCCCACTGGCCCCCGAGACCAAAATTTCACAATAACGACACCACACGGCATAAAAACTGACCACAGAACTCCATGTTTGACACCCTACACACGAAATCACAAAAACAAAAGAGAAAAGAAAGAAATTGCAAACCGATGTGGGGATGCCTCCCCACAAGCGCTTCTTTACCGTCTTTTAGTTGGACGCCCATTGCGGAGCTAAGGGTCCGCAAGATCAATCACCAATTCCACACATTCAACATTGCCTCCCAGGTACAGTTTGAGGTGATGCCCGTTCACCTTGAAGGGCGCAATCTGCGGATTCGAAATTTCAATAATTCTGTAGGGAAACACCTGGGTGACCGTGAATGGTTCAGACCACCGGAAGCACAATTTGCCCGGAAAGAGTCGCAGGCGGGAGTTGTATAGCAGGACTCGATCGCCCACCTGGAACTCTTTAGGGTCTTTGAGTCGAGCGTCGTGGAGACGCTTAGTGCGCTCCTTATACAGCCTGGTGTTCTCATAGGCGTGGTAACGCCACTCTTCTAACTCCACCAGCTGCATTTTTAGTTCAGCACCTGCAAGAGTCATATCAAGGTTTAGCAACTTAAAGGCCCAGAAGGCCTTGTGCTCTAACTCAACAGGCAGATGACAGGCCTTTCCATAGACAAGCTGATAGGGAGAATTCCCAATCGACATCTTGTAGGCTGTCTGGTATGCCCATAGAGCATCATTGAGCTTGGTGGACCAATCCTTACGGGATTGATCCATCGTTTTTTCAATGATCCTTTTTAACTCCTGGTTCGTCAGCTCGGTTTGACCATTTGTTTGGGGATGGTAAGCCACTGACACTTTGTGCCTCACATCATAGCGAGAGAGGAACTTAGTGAATTGCCCCTGAAAATGAGTGCCTCTATTGCTAATGATGGCTCGAGGTGTCCCAAACCAGGAGAAAAGCTGCTCAAAAATGAACAAACGCGTCTTGCATCATTGGTGGGCATGGCTTGAGCTTCTGCCACCTCGAGACGTAATCCACAGCAACCAGAATATAGAGATTACCAAACAAAGGAGGAAAGGGACCCATGAAGTCAATTCCCTGACATGAAAAATCTCACATGTTACGAAGGACTTCTGGGGCATCTCATCACGGGCAGAGATGTTACCTGACCACTGACATCGATTGCACTAGTGTGCGAAGGCATTAACATCCTTGATGATCGTGGGCCAATAGAAGCCCGACTAGAGCACCTTCAGTGCTGTGTGGTTCCCTCCGTGATGACCCCCAGCTGGTCCTTCGTGGCAGTGAGATAGGATGGCTACAATCTCGTGTTACATTACGCACCGCCGAATCACGCCATCCGCTCCGATCCTGAAGAGGTATGGATCCTCTCAGAAATAGTACTTCAGGTCGGAGAAGAATTTACGCTTAGCGTGAGTAGTCGTCCCTTTGGGTAACTGCTTGCCCACCAGATAATTGGCTAGATCAGAAAACCAATGAGTGACACTCTCCACCAAGCACAATGCCAGAAGTTGTTCGTCCGAGAATGATTGTTGATCTCCTCCACAAAGTTGTCCACTGGAGAGGTTTCCAACTGTGAAAGGTGATCTGTTGCAATGTTTTCTGCTCCCTTCTTATCTCGCATCTCTTTATTGAACTCCTGCAGCAGCAGGATCCAGCGGATGAGCCTCGGCTTGGGGTTAGCCTTCGTCATCAAGTAGTGGATAGCCGAGTGGTCGGTATAGATCACGACATGAGAAAGCACCAAATACGGCCGAAACTGTCGAAGGCATACACCACGGCGAGTAGCTCCTTTTCGGTGGTGGTGTAGTGCTCCTGAGCGACGTTTAAGGTCTTTGATAGCGTCATATTTGCAAATGTTTTCACCCTTGTTTCTTAACTGTTTTGGCTCAAATTTGTGGTGTCTTGCCCTATTTTATGCTAGTTCGTGTTATTTTGTCATATTTCAAATCCTAGCACGTAAAGTGAAGCATAGGCGCAAGTTTCAAGTCAATCGGAGATCATTTGGCAATTTAGGAGAAGAAACTTGAGCATGACCTGAGGAAGAATGAATTTCTACCTCATATTATGGAAAAATATCATATAATCTTGTCATGAAAAGAAAGAGGACGAGACTACAAGCATCTGGGATCAAACGGCGACTGATTCAGAGTCCGGTTGAGGGAGAAACGAAGCATTAAACAGGAGCGGAGGAAGAAATATGGGCAGGAGAAATACGACCATATTTTCCCCTCCCATGCCCGTATTTTCACTGCCGAGAGGAGCCTTGGATGCGCTGAAACTTAACCAAAACGCGCGTTTTGGGCAAAATACGGGCAGGGAAGAATTATGACCGTAATTCAGCCCGTATTTCGCCCAGAATCGAGGTTTTGAGGCAGATTTGGAGAGAGAAACTGCGAAGAACAAACCCAAGGAGCTATTTGGAGTGGATTTCTCACCTTTAAAGCTCACATTGCATCCCCAGGAGTGAAGATTGACATCCCAGAGCAGATTCTTCCCATTTTGTGAGTATGACTGCTTTGTATTCTGTTTTCCTCTCTCTCTCTCTCTCTCTATGGAGTAGAACTTTCTCTCACTTGGGTATGAAGAACCCTAGTTCCATGTGTTAGGGATCTTGATTGTAATGACGTTTGGATTGATATACTGCTTGGTTATAATCGATTGAGGCATATTTTATTGTATCAATTAAAGCTTGATCAACTTTTCTTGATTTCTGCTGCAACCTGAGATAGATAGAATCTGATTAGGTTGTTAGAGTTTCCTCAATCGGTAGTAGTGAATTGGTTATACGAGAGTTAGTCGATTCACTGCTTTGTACTAGAATCCAATTCCAGTAGTGGAGCTCTGTGTTAACTGCCTCAGCGTTCTATCCCGGTGAAGACTAGTCGTCTGTCGGTTAGTCTGTTTGAGAGGGCTTGGTCAGCTTAAGAGATTCCAAGCTACAGTCGGATCTTCCATAGTTTAATCAACAGTAAATCAACCAAAGGTAATTACAACTTTGACCTAACTAAGGAGCTAGGGGGACTCATTCCCGAGTGACTCTTCCCTTGCTTAAGAACTTCAAACCATTTCCTGCTTTCTTACTGCTTTTGCTTAAAATCACAATCATTCGACTTAGTTTTATAGATAATAGATAATCACGGAGTAGGCAGTAGATCTAGACCCCGGGTTGACAAATAGAACTTGCCGCTAGTCTGCATTTTCGGACTGCAATTACACTTGGTCGCAGTTTGGTGTTGTGATTTAGCGTGTCAAGATTTTGGCGCCGTTGCCGAGGAACTCTATGTTATTGTAGAAACGTGAAAGTCTGTTAATTTAGCATTTACTTTTATGCATCCTCTCTTTTCCACCCTTGCTTTTCACTTGGGTATTTTGTTTTTGATGGTACAAATCTTATACATGGATCCTCATGGCTTCTACAACCGTTGGGGGTATCCACCACCACCCGAGTGGTATTACCCCGAGACTTCCTGGAGAAACCAAGGAGGAGAAGTCTATGGAGTCTGGTCTCAGTACCAACCCCCCTACTACGAAGAACAATCAGACCCTTGGGTATTTCAAGAACAATCTCATTATCAAGAAGAATTCCTCCCACAACTAGAAGGGCCATCAGATCTTGATTTAGCCACAGCCCTCACGGGCCATCTGGCAGAGCCATACTACACTCCACAGCCAGATCCAAACTATCACTTGAGGCTTCTCGTGGAGCAGATTGCTCGAGTACCTGAAAGATCCTTTTCCGATATGGATCCTCATATCCAGGCCATTGCCCAAACTGAATTCTCATTTCCCCGTGAAACAGAGGAGACCCTTCGGAGCATCAAGAAGCACATAGAGGTCATTGAGAAAGCTTATGCACAGTTTTCTCAAGACAGCCTTTATGCTACAATACAAGCAGAGAAGGAGGAAGAAGTCAATCATGAGGATGTCGTGGAGCATACAGAAGTTGTCACGAAGATCTCCCGTGATGATCATGATCAGAAATGTCATGTTGTAGCCGACCATCCCTTTCTGCAACCCACACTGAGCGCTGAAGAGGCGGGCATGAGTGAGGAGATGCAAGCTGATCTTATTGAAAAGATTGCATGGCGACTTGCTCTCCAATCCGCGCTAGAAGAAGAAAAGCGAGAAAGGATGAGGAAAGAAGTTGTGGAGGATGACGAAAGTGAATTAGAGGAAGTCCTTGATCTTTTCCCAAGGGATGAATCAAATTTTGAGGAAGGAAGGGGGGTTGAAGAAGCAATTGGCGTCCAGGTTAAGGATGAAGTTGAGGTGGAAGAGGCTTGCACCGACCATGAGTTACATGTGATATCTCCACCAAACTTCGAGGAGCTGCTTGGCAAGGACCCATTTGCAGTGTCTCTTTGCCAGACCAAGGCCACATCGACATCGGTCCCTCTTGGTGGACGTGATGGTGGTCGGTCGATGCTGTCATATCTGGTTCGGGGCAATGAGACGAGTGAGGAAGAAGAGGTCTCGTGGGTGGAGACTTCATATTCATCAAGTACACGAGCCTACATCACCTGTCATACCACCTGCTTGTGACTTGAGACCCCACATCATCGACAAGAACCTCAACTTCAAGGAGGTTATAGCATGGACTAAAACTTAGGAGCCATTGTCCAGCTCACGACGGTAAAGAAGCGCTTGTGGGGAGGCAACCCCACCACGGTTTGTTTTTATTTTGTTTGTTTTCGGTTTCCACTTGGAACTATGGTTTCTTTCACCTAGTGTGTGTGTGTGTGTGTGTGTGTGTTTTCATGACTCTAGCTCTGTGCTAGTTGGACTGGTCCACTTCCAGTCTCCTGTTCTTGAGTGGGCTGCCTTCCAGTCACCGTTCCCGCTCATCATTTCCTGGTAACATCGTTCCCCTTCCCTATGCTCTATTGAGGGCAATGTCGAAATTAAGTGTGGGGGTTGCTTTGTCTTTATTGGAACGTATATGTGTGTGCTTGGAGCCTAGTCCGTTGTCCAAATCTCGAGATTTGAGGGCTCCAAGTACTGCTGTTAGCTTGATCATATTGGCATTGTGGGTTTAATTGGTGAATTGCATGGCTTTCGAATTGATGCATGACGACTGGATTGTGACTAGGACAACCTATAACGATAACTGAGACGTGCAGTAGAGTTGTGTAGGGGTTCAGTTTTTCAACTGTTTGCTTACCAATTGTGAGTTGGATTGATCACTTGTTCTTGATAGTCGTTTATGCATCTAGTTCAAGGAATCAGAATGAGAGATAGAGCATATAGGTAGCCATGTGAGATTTGAGCCTGCTCGTTTATTTCTTGTGCGATAGATCCCTTATCCATGATGTGTAGCATTCACGTTGCCATTATCTAAGATGATGGAGGCATAGGAATAGCCCACGACCAAATTGATTGTCTTGGTGTGTCATATCCCCTAGTTAGCCCTTTGAGTCGTGTCACTTTCTTTCTTTCGGTCTACAATGAAAAATCACCCTTTTGCATGTCTTGGAAGGTTCCACGGAATGGTTTTTGCATGTTCTCTGTTGTTTCTGCTAGAAATAATGTGAGGGTTGGAGGTAGTTCTTAAAAGTTGGGCATGTGTTTGAAAAATGTGCAGAGGTGGTGGTTCTCTCAAGAAATGGAAAAAAAATGAATAAAAGCTAAAGAGAGACACTACCAAAAATCTGAATCATGCTCATTAAGTAGTGTTTCTTAGTAGTTTGGCTTAGAAATACTAACATTATTGTGACCTCCTTCACTCTTGTGTTCTTAAGAAGAACTTGAGTAATGCAGAATGGCGGGAAGAAAGTAAGTGGTGTGAATGACTGTGAGTTTGTTTGGCTTGGAACTGTGGAACCTTGTGTTACTAATACTTCCACCACCTAAAAGGCTTTTTCCCCATGTCCAAGACCCTAGCCAGTCATTTGAACCTGTGTCTAAGACCTCCGGATTAGTTAGTGGTGACACCCAATATGTGAACTCTAACATTTAGAGGTTGTCGTCATGGTGAAGAGACGTTAGGGATTGAGAGTGCGAGTATGCACATCTTGCATCAAATTTTGTCATGACCCCACTGGTCGAGAGTGAGCGATTCATTTCCCTATATTCTCTACACTCTTTACCCCGGTGAGGACCTAGAGTGCTCGATCTTAATTCTGATGTCTTGAATTTTATGCATGAGGTGACTGTCTTGAATAAGTGGTTGAGTCAAGTCTATGTTGGTTAGTGAACATAAGGGAGACTCTTCCTTTACCTGATTTTGCTGCACTCGAATGTCCTCTGTGGTGGTTGTCCAGGTGGCTGTTGAAGTTGTCCATGTGTTGATGTCTAAAAGCTAGTATGACTCCCGTGTTTCGTGCCTATATGATATGTCCCCAAGGGTTTCATGGTTAAAATGTTTTGAGCTTACCTTGTATCTGACTTGGTTTGCTTGGGGACAAGCAAACGGTTAAGTATGGGGAATTTGATAGCATCGTATTTGCACATGTTTTCACCCTTGTCTCTTAACCTTTTTGGCTTAAATTTGTGGTGTCTTGACCTATTTTATGCTAGGTTGTGTTATTTTGTCATATTTCAGGTCCTAGTATGTAAAGTGAAGCATAGGCGCAAGTTTCAAGTCAATCGGAAACTTAACCAAAATGTGCTGAAACTTAACCAAAATGCACGTTTTGGGCAAAATACGGGCAGGGAAGAATTACGACCGCAATTCAGCCAGTATTTCGCCCAGAATTGGGTTTTTGAGGCAGATTTGAACCAAAGGTGAGGGAATCAAGTTTTTGTGCAATAAACAGAGCTTTAGAGAGAGAAACTGCGAAGAACAAACCCTAGGAGCTATTTGAAGTGGATTTCTCACCATTGAATCCCAGATTGCATCCCCAGGAGTGAAGATTGACATCCCAAAGCAGATTCTTCCCATTGTTATGAGTATGACTGCTATGTATTCTATTTTCCTCTCTCTCTCTCTCTATGGAGTAGAACTTTCTCTCACTTGGGTATGAAGAACCCTAGTCCCATGTGTTAGGGATCTTGATTGTAATGACGTTTGGATTGATATACTGCTTGGTTATAATCGATTGAGGCATGTTTTATTGTGTCAATTAAAGCTTGATCAACTTTTCTTGATTTCTGCTGCAACCTGAGATAGATAGAATCTGATTAGGTTGTTAGAGTTTCCTCAATCGGTAGTAGTGAATTGGTTATATGAGAGTTAGTCGATTCACTGCTTTGTACTAGAATCCAATTCCAGTAGTGGAGTTCTGTGTTAACTGCCTCAGCGTTCTATCCCGGTGAAGACTAGTCGTCTGTCGGTTAGTCTGTTTGAGAGGGCTTGGTCAGCTTAAGAGATTCCAAGCTACTGTCGGATCTTCCATAGTTTAATCAACAGTAAATCAACCAAAGGTAATTACAACTTTGACCTAACTAAGGAGCTAGGGGGACTCATTCCTGAGTGACTCTTCCCTTGCTTAAGAACTTCAAACCATTTCCTGCTTTCTTACTGCTTTTGCTTAAAATCACAATCACTCGACTTAGTTTTCTAGATAATAGATAATCACGGAGTAGGCAGTAGATCTAGACCCCGGGTTGACAAATAGAACTTGCCACTAGTCTGCATTTCTGGACTGCGATTACACTTGGTCGCAGTTTGGTGTTGTGTTTTAGCATGTCAGTCTTCGACGCGTATTAGATAGGCTGGAAATACTTATCGCGTCTCTGACCAAGAACAGCTCCAACCGCATATTCACTCGCATCACACATCAGCTCGAAGGGTAGAGAACAATTTGGAGTCACCATGATGGGTGCATGGGTAAACTTCTCCATCAGAGTCTCAAATGCAGCTGTGCACTCTTGAGTGAACTGGAATGGGGCATCTTGCTCAACAAGATTGGTCAATGGCAGGGAAATCTTTGAGAAATCTTTGATGAAGCGCCGATAGAAGCCTGCATGAATCCCCTTAACAGAAACAGGGGGAGGTAGCTTGTTGATTGTCTCTATCTTCGCGCGATTGACCTTGGTCCCCTGCTTGGAGATCCTATGCCCGAGCACAATACCTTCACGAACCATGAAGTTACACTTCTCCCAACTGAGTGCCAAGTTCGTCTCCTCACATATCTTCAGGACAAGCTCTAGGTTATGGAGACAGTGTGAGAAGGAGTCTCCATAAACCTAGAAGTCATCCATAAAGACTTCCATAATTTCTCCAACTAGTGGGTCAAAGATGGCCAACATACACCACTTGAAGGTCGTTGGTGCATTACACAGTCCAAAAGGAATCTGTCGATATGCGAAGGTGCCAAATGGACAGTTGAAGGTAGTCTTAGCCTGATCCTCCGGTGCAATAGGGATCTGGAATTACCCAAACATACCATCCAGAAAGTAGTAGAACTCATGCGTCGCCAGCCTCTCCAGCATATGGTCAATGAAAGGCGGCGGGAAACGGTCCTTCGTGGTGGCGTTGTTCATGCTCCGGTAGTCGATGCAGACTCTCCATCCAGTCAGGGTCTGCATTGAGATCAGCTTGTTCTTCTCATTCGGGACCACCGTCATCCCGCCTTTCTTCAGAACCACCTGAGTGGGACTAACCCACTTGCTATCAGATATAACGTAGATGATCCTTGCATCCATTAGCTTCACAATCTCTACCCGGACCACTGCTTCCAAGTTCGGAGTCAACCTCCGTTGCGGCTGCCGGACTGGCTTAACCTCATCCTCCATCAGAATTCTGTGAGAGCATAAGGATGGGCTAATAACTCTGATGTTCGTGATCTTCCACGCCATGGCCCGGGCGTGCTACTTCAACAAAGCCACCAAACTGCTCTTTTGCTCGGGGGTCAGTTCCAAGTTGATGATGACAGGGAGCTTATTCCCCTCCCTGAGAAACGCGTACTCTAGATGGAAAGGGAGGGGTTTTATCTCGAGCTCAGGTGGCTCCTCCAGTGAGGTTGTGATCCAGCGCAAGAAATGGATCGGCTTGAAAGGTCTCTCTTACCCCACTACCTCAACACTCTCTAGCTCTTCAAGCTGCTCTTCCAGATACAAATCCTGTGATGCATGTTCCCCTAGCACAAGACAACGCTCAAGGAAATCGTTAGTACCCCGCACTCATGATAGCAAGTGTGGTCGCATAATCAGCAATCACATCACAATAGTCTAAATCAAATTAGAACTAGGGGTGTTTCATATTATCATAAACATAAAAGGTGATTTGTTCACCCCCAGCCCGCAAAATCAACTTGCCATCATTCACATCAATAAGTGCCTTGGCGGTGGCAAGAAATGCACGACCCAAAATCAGAGGCACTTCTTCATCCTCATTAATATTAAGAATCACGAAATCATCAGGATATGCAAATGGCCCTACTGTCACGACAAAGTCCTATGTAATGCCCCTAGGATGCACAATAGATCTATCAGCTAGCTGAATGCTCATCCTTGTATTTCTGGATTCACCTAGGCCTAGCTTTTGAAATAATTTATATGGCATGACGTTTATGCTAGAGCCTATATCCGCCAAGGACTTTCCTACATGCAAACTACCATGATGCAAGGGATAGTAAAACTCACTGGGTCTTTGCGCTTTTCCGGTAGCTTGTTCTGCAGGATGGCAGGAAACTCGTCATTCAGAATCACCATCGAGAGCTCTCTGAGCTTCTTCTTATTTGTGAGAAGGTCCTTCATGAACTTCCCGTACTTAGGCATCTTTGACAATGCCTCCACGAAAGGCATGCTGATGTACACCTACTTCGGCAGTGCCATGAATTTGGAAAACTCAGTCTCCAGATGGTCCTTGTGGAACCGGGTAGGAAATGGGATTTGATGAACATACTCCTTCACCATTGTTTGCGGTGTGGAAGAAGGCACCTCAACCTCCTTCTCCATTTCTTTCTCGTTGGCTGGAAGTGCTGAAGCAGGTGGCTCATTCCCCTGTCTGGCATGGACAGGTGCAGTCACCTTGTAGCTCCTAGTCATGACTACATTAAAACCTGTGTATTCCTCTGGTTTGCCTCGAGCTGCAAAAACTGCACAGAAGCCTTCTCCATGAACCGCTCCAAGTTGTCAAACGTGGTAGCACTATTGTTGGCGAGACCTGCAGTGCTTGAGTGATAGTTGCGGCCGTGGGTCCCAGCTGCTGAAATGGTCACTGCGGTGCTTGAGTGATAGCTGACCCCTGCCTGGCTGGATAGAGCGATTGTTGTTGCTGCGGGAATTTAACCTGGCGACCCTGGTATGGCAGCCTCTGAAAACTTGGGGGTCCCTAGGAGACAGGTGGCTTAGGATTGTTATTACCACCCCAAGAGAAGTTTGGATGTTGGCGCCACCCCTCGTTGTAGGTGTTGTTGTAGGGGTCGAAGCACTTAGCATTGCTAATGAAATCCAGCTGCTCCTGGGGGTGGTAGATTCCCTCATCGCCTGGCAGTCTTCCGCCGTGTGGTGGTTGACACGACCCGCTCTTTTTGAAAACCAAACCACAACTCAAATCACAAACTGGTTACTCCGGAGCAACCCAAAACAGGTTTACAAGTCAAAACCAACAACCACAAAGTTAAAGATTTCAAGTGAAATGCCCCAAAACACTTGGGCGACCTCAACCCAGAGCAACAAAACATAAACACAACCCTTGAGGTTCCCCAGTATACTCATTAAGACATGAAGCTAAAGACAAATATAATGGGAGGTCCCATCTCGTTACCCAGATCCAGTTGACATCTTCAGGTTAGCCGCGGCTGCTCTCCTTGGGTAATCTCCTCTTGATGGATGCGTCCTCTTCCCCTCTACGCACCTGGTGAGCGAGAAGGTGCCAATCTCGTCGTTACTCCCTGAGATCTTTGCCTAGGCGAACTCCCTACTAAACACGTTATTAGAGTTTGCTTCCTAGCATGAAAGTCGTTCTCGCTTTTTGCTCTTAAATAATCATCCTTGTCAACTCATTTCAACACTAACTCCTAAGAGTGCTCGCCTTCTATCCTTAACTTAAATACGAAACACTAGGACCACCGCGTTACGTCTCGTCGTCCGGTGTCCTACCCTAGTATGCCAACCGCGTTACGTCTCGCCGTCCGGTTGCATACCCAAACTCAGCAATGGCACTGCGTTACGTCTCGCCGTCCGGTTGCATACCCATACTCAGCAATGGCACTGCGTTACGTCTCGCCGTCCAGTCCATGCCCGTCAACTACTGCGTTACATCTCGCCGACCAGTCATGACCCAACCGCCCGGGGGTTCCTCATACCATCAATCCATACATCATCACATACATTCATACATAGCACAATGCGTGCCTCCACCCTTACAGGCGGTGGGATGCCTCACACACATACCGCGCATACTAGAAAATTAACTAAATAATAACTTGAATGAAAAGCAGAAACTAAAAGACCTACGACAGAGATTTTACCCCCTTTACACTCACCTCAAAAAGATGACTCCTCAATTCCTTCCTCGAAGAAACCCCTCCTTAGCCAGATTATCTTGGAGAAACCTATTAATAAGAATCCATTTTCTTAGACGACTTTTCTTGATTTAAAACCCCTTTTGAATCACTAGAACATCCTCTCCTCAAACACCGGTCCTTGAACCTCATTCCAAGGGTCCTTTAACCTCCACTAAAATTTTCTAGAATTAATCCCTTCAAAAACGACCATTTTTCTTAATTATTTTAGTCTTTGACGAATTTTCCACCTAACTAGAACCTTCTTAAAAATTCGGATAATAATTTTCCCAAAAATTCGGATAAAAATTCGGATAATAATTATCAAACCCTTAAAAACCCCTCGGAAAGATTTTGATTTAATTAAAACAAATATTCAAACAATTTCTAAAAATTGAAATACATCTTCAAAAATTTCCAAATTAAATTACAATCATCTCCTAGACGTCGCTCAATTTATAAAATTGTTAGATCTACAAAACAACCTTCAGAGAGGCTCGAAACAATTTAAAACATCTAAAAATACGTTTCTGGAAATTCCCAACAGCTTCAGTGACCAATCAAAATCTGTCACTAAAAGACTGTAAAGCCTGTTGCTAAAACCCCAGAATTCTACCCTCACAAAAAATCACCAAATCAATCGATCTAACTCAAAGGGATTGAGTTCCCTTACCTCTAGAACGTGCCTAGGCCTAGGTTGGATGACCCGGGATGTTGATCTCCTTGTTGATCGAACCCTCAACGTCACCGATAGAACGAAAGGGATGGGGTCGGGGTCGGGGCACAGGGAGGCGGCGGCTCCCTTTCTTCTTCTTCTTCTTTTTTTCTTCTTCTTCTTTCTTCTCTGCCAGCGACGCTGGGAAATCATGGGGGGTTGGGGGTTTTTGGTTTTCTTTGCTGGGGAGTGGGGTTTTGAGGGCCGCTCGGCCCGGCCGAGCGATGTGTTATTTTTTTTTAAATTATAGTCATAATAATAACAATAGTTATTATTATTATTCCTAATCCGCGGTTGTAACTCTTAGTACTTAACCGTCAATCCAACCGATCACGTATTAAGGTCGAACCTAAATCTAAAATATCGAGGTGTTACAGTGGTTGCTCTTGCATCACTGGCATTGCGGCACCGGATCCTGTACCGCTCCACCAGAGATCATTCCAGTTTTGTATAACTGCATGACCAACTTCGAGACAACCTGCACCAATTCAGATGACCGGGTGTCTATGGCATGCACACCCCGGCCTGGTGCTCTTCTTGACCTCCTCGCAATCCTCTAATCATAACCCTGCTCTGCCATCTCTTTGAAGAGCTGATTTAACTGCGATGGCGTCTTGTTCTATTCCCACCACACACCGAGTCAATCAGGTGCTTGTCTTCTGGAAAGAGGGTGTGGTACACCTTGAAACCGTCATTAAAACCATGGTTGGGTCACTTCAGGAAGAGGCTGGTATACCTCTCCCAAGCGTCCCGAATGGTTTTATCCTCCTCCTGGGCAAATTGTGTAATCTCCTTTTGCAGGTCAGCTATCTTGGACGGGGGGTGATAATGGGTCAAGAACTTGTTGTCCAAGTCAGTGAAGGTCGTGATGGACCCCAGAGGTCGGTTGTCCAACCACACCTTGGCTTGTCCCTCCAGAGTGAAAGGGAAATATCGCAGTTGAATGGTGTCCTATGGGACCCCTTTGATCTTGATTCCATCGATCAACTCATGGAATCGCCGCATGTAAGCTCTGGGAAACTCGCTCGATTTCCCATGGAAGACCATCGAGCCGCGCAGCGCGGTGATGATAGAGGTGCTCATCTTGGAGTTCTTAGCTGAAACTTGAGGGTGCTAGATGGGTGACCTCATGTTTGTGGCTCTAGCAGTCCAGTAGTATACCATGGTATGCTCATCAGGAACAATGTCCCCGCCATTGTTGGGTTCTCCCATGTCGTCTTCCTGGTTGATGTTCAGCTGCTACAAAGCCTCCTCCGCAGCCAGTCGCACCTTCAAAGCTCGCTTGAACTTACGAGTCTTAGGACAAGTTCGTTCGAGCTCTTGATCTAACGGATATAGCTCTCCCGAGTAGCTACAGGTCATGCACTACTTGCACACAGCTGCAAGCAAAACCCGTGAAGGCACACATGGGGAAGAAAGAAAATTCTATTAAATAAATGTTAAAGTAACAGATATTCACGTTTCTCCAATAACCTAGAGGTCCCTAGCAACGGCGCCAAAAACTTAACACGCTACGACACAACACCAAATTACGACCAAGTATAATCACAGAGTGGAAATGCATAATAGTGGCTCAGGTTAATGATGACTCGATATTTGCACATGTTTTCCCCTTTGTTTCTTGATCGTTTAAGCTTTAATTATTGCTTCTTTGGCCTATTTTACACTATTTTGTGTTCCTTTGTCATATTTTAGGTCCTAGCGCATAAAGTGAAGCATAGGCGCAAGTTTTAAGTCAATCGGAGATCAATTGGCGATTCGGGGGACGAAACTCGAGCATGACCTGAAGAAGAATGGATTTATAACTCAATTTGTGACCATAGGATCATGTAATCTTGTCATGATAAGAAATAGGACGAGACTATGAGCGTCTGGGATCAAACGGCACCTGATTTTGAGTCCGAACAAGGGAGAAACGAAGAATCAAAGATAGGGGACCTGGAACTGCAAAATACCCGACCGGGTATTTTGACCATCTGATAGGGTATTTTTGGCAGCATCAGAAGGCCCCCCGGTCGTGAACCAAAAATACCAACCGGGTACCCAAAATACCCGATGGGTTATTTTCCCTTTTGCCGTGAAAAGTGACCTAGAGCATTTTGTTGATACCCGACCGAGTTTCGCGAACGCATGCTGTTAAAAGCCTGTTTTGTGCGTTTTTGGAGGGGGGGAGCTAGGCTTTGGATTCCAAACACCCAAGGGACGAACCAAAGAGAGAGAGGGAGATTTGAGGGCAATCTTGGAGTGGAATTGGATGATTTCTTCGCCTTGGAAGCTCGAGGAACAAGCCCGGACTTGAAGACTGATCATCTGAAGGTTCTTACTGCAGTTTCTCTCTTCTCTATGGAGTAACTTCCCTTCACTTAGGTTTGAGGAACCCTAACCATGTTTTTTTGATTGGATGATTGTATGAGTACTCTTGCTTGATATCTTGAGTTCATATTCAATCTATGCATGTTTTCATGATTCAATTCTACTTTAGTCGAGATTATTGATTCTACTTTGATCCTATGAGAGCGAATACCTTGTTAGGTCAATAGAGCACCATAGATTGATAGTATTAGATTGATTTCTTTAGTCGAGGGTTGATTCAATTCTTTGTATCGATTGAGAACCTCATTCGATAGAGGGAGTCTAGTTCAGAACGCCTTGATCGGTTGTTCTAGAGAAGGATACGTCCCTCTAGGCAAGTGACTCAAGAGGGACTTGTTTCTTTAGTCGAGACTCAAGGTCTAGTTAAGGATTCTCCACATTGTGAATGAAAGTGAAACAGGTTAGATATCATCAATCATTAATCTGGCTAGTGGCTAGGGGGAATCATACCTAAGTGAGTTCCCAACCTGTAATTAGATTAACTTTAGTTTTAGTTTGCTAGAGTAGTTTTAGTTGTTCTATCTTAATCTGGTTTGCTATATAATGAACTTAACCTGAGTAATAGTAACTCTAGAGACCCGTGGATTTGATATTTATTACTTGAGCCACTATATTGCAGTCCCTTTCATTGGTTACACTTGGCCTTTGTTAGGAGTTGTGTCATAGCGAGTCAGTTAAATTATCGACCCGGGATCTATATCTACTGCCTACTCCGAGAACTTCTATTATCTAGCGGGACTAAGTGAGTGAAGTGATTCAAGCGCAAAAGAAATGAAAAGCAAGCAATGTTCTGGTTCTTTTCAAGTGTTAAAGGTCATCCAGGTTTGTTTTCCCCTAGTATGCAGCCAGTTCAGGTTATATGTTCCCAACTTAGTCAGATTGGCAGATAAACCACGCAAAGTTCTTTACTGGTCTGGACTCTCGACTAAAGTTATTCCGGCCCTCTCGGTTTGAATATCCGGCGGGCGACTAACCTCCACCGACATACACTAACCGAGGCTAACCACACGAAACTTCCACTACTTGCTTTTGTTCCAGTACGGAGCAATGAATTGACTTCTCGACTAAAGCAGACAATTCACCACTTTCAATTAAAGGTTGCTCTTTTGCCCTATGCAGAGACTATCATTCTAGGTTAAAGCCGGAATTACAAAGGTTTGATCAGGACTCATGCAATTCTAAATAATTCCTCAATTGAATTTATCAAATCAATCATTCGCAAATGGGATTCATACAATCATTCCTAACATACACAACTAGGTTTTTTCATATATAAGATTTGCAAGGGACACTTAGTTTATAGTGGTTCTTCCTCACGTTAGTGAGGCTTACGTCCACTGTAGAATGTAGGTGTTTATTGCTCTGCTTGGCCGAAGGCCATACATGGGTTTATATGCCATAATGCAACTAGATTTCCTAGGGCATTCGTAGGATTACAATTACGTAAAATATAAGGACAACTCGAGTTCTCCTCTGGTGCTGTCGTTGCCTTTACAAGAGCGGCAAGGGCCGAAGTGAGGTCTAGCCCAATACTCCCCCGCAAGGTGATACGTGCAGATCTCGAACGTTCAGCTTGGAGAGTAAGAAATGAAAACGATCAGCACCAAGTCCTTTAGTGAAGATGTCGCCGAGCTGAAGGTCGCCAGTAACCTTGACCGGAAGAATATCACCTGACTGGGCCCACTCGCGAACGAAGTAGCAATCCATTTCCACGTGTTTCATGCGCTCGTGGAATACTAGATTGTTGGCTATATGAAGTGCAGCTTGGAGAGGAGTAGGAGCTGACTACAGAACCCCAAGTTCTTGAAGTAACCAGCGAAGCCAAATCAGTCCACTAACCGTGCTGGCCATCGCACGATACTCAGCTTCAGTAGAAGAACGGGCCAAAACCCGCTGTTTCTTGGTGCGCCAGGAAATGGGTGCGCCACCAAGACTGATGAAGTAACCAGTAGTCGAACGGCGAGTGGGCTCACAGCCACCCCAATCAGCATCACAGTAAGCAGTGAGACATAGAGGATTGTCTTTGGGGAAGAACAATCCTTAACTTGGTGCAGACTTAAGATAGCGAAGGAAACGGAATACAACATCAAGATGTTGCTGAGTTGGGGCATGAACAAACTGGCTCAAGAGATTTACTGAATAAGTGATGTCAGGCCGCGTAATTGTCAGGTAAAGAAGACGTCCCACAAGGTGTCAGTAGACCGAAGGATCAGGGAGTGGATCAGCGTTCACTCTTGTCAAGTGATGGTTTTGCTCAATGGGAAAGGCACTGGGCCGAGAACCTTGGACCCCTACATCCTCAAGAATGTCCAGGACATACTTGCGCTGGCTAAGAACAACACCTGTAGAAATGCGCGCCAACTCGATGCCCAGGAAGTATCGAAGTGGACCAAGATCTTTAATACTGAATCGATATGTGCCCTTAAGAATTGCCCAGTAAACCGAGTTTGGGCTGCAAGAAAAGAAAGATATGTGTCCTTAAAACCCGAGTAATCAACATAAGCAGCAATAGGATAAGAAGCGAAATTAGTGGCACTTCCCTGTCCATTGTCATTAGAAAATGAAGTGATGTAAATTCGCCAGGTGCTTTGGGCGAAAACGGGCACGGTCACTTTTGCGCACAGCTGCTGGAGCGGGTTGATTCGGCTGGGTCGGGCTAGTTGGAGGACCAGCGGACGCAAAACTTGGGACAGGACTGCTGCTGCGATTCTCTGGTGAGGCCGGATGCGGATCAGGTGACGTGGGCTCATGATCCGGAACTAGGAGACGGCCCAGGAGTGGATGGAGGCTCTGTTGGGCCAGGTGAAGACGAGGATGGGCCAGGAACGGGAGAATCATCTGGTGCGTCATCCGTGGGCTGAATGGCCGGTCTGGGTATCCAATGGAGCTCCTGCCGAACTCCATCCTGCATGGGAAAGATATTCTCGTGGAATTGAACATCGCGAGAAGTTGATAATCGATGAGAGATAAATCATAAATACGGTAGCCCTTTTGTGCCGCAGCATAGCCCAAGAAAATTCCTGCTCGACCTCTTTCTGCAAACTTATCGAGGTGAGCATGAGTTTCCTTGTGATAGACTAGGCATCAAAATACACGAATGTGATGATAAGGTGGTATCTTGCCAAAAATCATTTCGTGAGGACTCTTGCCCGTTGCCTTAGTTAGAAGTCGATTAATAAGGTAGACTGCTATCAGAACACATTCTCCCCAGAATCTGACAGGCAAACTGGCTTGAAAACGCAGAGCATGTGCTGTCTCAAGAATATGACGATTCTTCCTTTCTACTACACCGTTCTGGTGAGGTTTATCAGTGCAGGAAGTTTGAAGAAGAATACCTTCGCGCGCATAGTAATCACGAAGATCATTTGTGTTGAACTCCGGTCCATTGTCTGCTTGAATACGTTTAACAGAACATCCAAACTGCGTACGAACCATGTGACAAAATTGCAACAAGGACCTACCAACATTAGATTTATATCTCAACAGATAAACCCAAACCCCACGAGTGTAATCATCAACTATCGTCAGAAAATAGTGAGCACCACTAAGAGATGCAACCTTGTATCCACCCTAAATATCAACATGGATAAGTTCAAACTTGGATTTCGTTTTAATCATGCTCAACGAAAAGGGTTCTCTAGTCTGCTTAGCCCTTGAACAGGAGTGACAAGGACCAATAACGAACTAAAGGTAGAAAGTTTAACAAAAGAAGGATGCCCCAGCCGGGCATGCCATGTGGCCTCTGAAACCAAAGATCGTCTCTGTACCGCACAAGCCTGCGTCCGTCCAGCTCCAAACAAACGCAGATAGTACAGCCCATCATGCAGCTCACCCTTCCGAATCAACTTCTTGGAAAGTAAGTCCTGAATGACGCAGAAATTTTCAAGAAAAATCAAAGCCACACGGTTATCCTTCGTCAGTCTACTCACAAATATGAGGTTACATCGAAACTCAGGTACGTGAAGTACTCTCCCTAGGGTAAGACCTTCCTGAAGAGTAACTGAACCCACATGTTTAACAGGGATACTATCACCGTTAGGAATACGAACCGGCTGCCCATTAACATGTAATTCTTTACTAGATAACATCGACTCATCCATGGTAATATGCTCATTTCAACCTGAGTCTAGTAACCATTCGGAATCATAAGAAATCATACCTGCCATGTGAGCTGCAGGATCATCCGCCGCTTTTCCCGAATAACCAAAGAATTGTTTCAGCTGATCCAGCTGCGTAACAGTGAAGCCAGGGACTGGGCTCGCATCTGCATCAACCTGCGAAGCCTTTGGCTAGTGCTGGGAGCTCTCTCCCGCATCCCGACCACGCCTTCGCTGCAGCCTATCCCTTTATCGATCTCTTGTAAGGTACCCAGGGGGATACCCAACCAATTCATAGCATGCCAAGGCGATGGCAGTGTGTACAGCGGGGTCTTTCTCGCTGCTCCCCCGTGCCACGCTGTTCGCCAGCCCGATCTCCTGATCGATCATCGCCAGGCCCACGCTGCCCTCGGCCCGATTCTCCCTTGGCCGCAAAAGAAGCAACTTCGGGCGTGCTTTTCCTGTTCTGGGTAATGCTTTTCTGCTGCTCTTCATTGAGCACGATACGAAAGGCCTCAGCAAGGCTAGGTGTAGGGTGCATGGCGAGAATCTGGGTACGCACTGCCCCGAACGCGTCATCTAGGCCCATTAGGAAATCAAACAAACGAGCGTTCTCTTGTTATGCTCGAGCTTTTCGAGAGACATCGCAGACGCATAAACCACATGTACAAGTCGGCGGTGGAGTAATAGTCGTAGCCTCTTCCCAAAAAGACCTTAGGCTAGTATAAAATGCCGACACAGTATGTTTTTCCTGCTGGAGAAGGGTGATTAATCTCCTCAATTCATAAGCACGAGACGCGCTTCCTTGACCGAAGCATTCATTGAGATCGGCCCATATTTCACTCGTGTGCTCAGCAAAGCGAATACTTCCTCGAATATCCTTGTCCATCGACGTCTTCAACCACCCCTTAACCATCGCGTCGCAATGCGTCCAAGCTCCTAGCTCTCTAGGATCCTTCGGCTTGGGTAGGGTTACATCGACGAAGCAGTATTTATCCTTTGCGACAAGCGCATCTTTCATATCCAGAGACCATTCTCCATAATTTGAAGCCGTCAGAATCTCGCCCACGAGCATATTCCCGGGACTGTCATAGTTGTGCAGCTGTAGTACCGACGGAAGTTCAACGTCGGATTTGCTGGAAGAGACTCCTTTGTTCTTGACGTCTTCATCGCCAATACCCATGGCTGTTTGAGAAAAGGAGAAAACTGGAGCCTACCGCTCTGATACCATATAAGATTTGCAAGGGACACTTAGTTTATAGTGGTTCTTCCTCACGTTAGTGAGGCTTACGTCCACTGTAGAATGTAGGTGTTTATTGCTCTGCTTGGCCGAAGGCCATACATGGGTTTATATGCCCTAATGCAACTAGATTTCCTAGGGCATTCGTAGGATTACAATTACGTAAAATAGAAGGACAACTGGAGTTCTCCTCTGGTGCTGCCGTTGCCTTTACAAGAGCGGCAAGGGCCGAAGTTGGTTTGGGCCGAAGTGAGGTCTGGCCCAATATCATACCCAGATGAAATGGAAAATTACTCCATAGAGAGATTTGAGAATGTTATGCTCAGAGAAGACATCGTCAAACTGACAATGGGAATCTGCTCCTGGCGGCTAATCGGTACTCCGAGGTTGAGGAATCGAGCTCCGAAGACTTCAGATCGCTCCAATCCTTTCCCAAGGGTTTCTCTTCATCACTTTCTCTCTAGGGTTCTTTTTCTGCCTTTAGAACTCAGAAAATCCGGATCTCTTGCCTTTTTCCCGAGCAGCCCTTTTAAAGGCTGAGAATCCGCGTGTTACGGCCTAAGTCACGACCGTAACTTGGCTTGCCCACACGTAACTCTCCAGAAAACGACGTCGTTGTTTCACTCCTGAAACCAAGAGTTACGGCTTCTTTGGAGGAGTTACGACCTCGACCGTAACTTGAAGAGGGAGACCGTAACCCCAAAATTTCCTCTGGAACTAATGTCGTTGCTATCCAAGAGTTACAGTTGCAAAGGCAGAGTTACGGCCTAGACCGTAACTTTGAAGGTCTGCTGACTCGCTATGACACAACACCTAACAAAGGCCAAGTGTAACCAATGAAAGGGACTGCAGTATAGTGGCTCAAGTGATAAATATCGAATCCACGGGTCTCTATTACTCAGCTTCAGTTACTATTACTCAGCTTCAGTTTATTATTTAGCAAATCAGATTAAGATGAAAGAACTAAAACTACTCTAGCAAACTACAGTTAAAGTTCATCTAATTACAGGTTGGGAACTCACTTAGGTATGATTCCCCCTAGCCACTAGCCAGATTAATGATTGATGATCTCTAACCTGTTTCACTTTCATTCACAATGCGGAGAATCCTTGACTAGACCTTGAGTCTCGACTAAAGGAACAAGGCCCTCTTGAGTCAATTGCCTAGAGGGACGTATCCTTCTCTAGAACAACTGATCAAGGCGTTCTGAAGTAGACTCCCTCTATCGAAAGAGGTTCTCAATCGATACAAAGCAGTGAATCAACCCTTGACTAAAGCAATCGATTCACTACTATCAATCTATGGTGCTCTATTGACCTAATCAGGTATTCCCTCTCATAGGATCAAAGCAGAATCAATAATCTCGACTAAAGCAGAATTGAATCATGAAAACATGCATAGATTGAATATGAACTCAAGATTATCAAGTCAGAGTACTCATACAATCATCCAATCAAACAAACATAGCTAGGGTTCCTCAAAACCTAAGTGAAGGGAAGTTACTCCATAGAGAAGAGAGAGACTGCAGTAAGAATCTTCAGATGATCAGTCTTCAAGTCCGGGCTTGTTCCTCGAGCTTCCAAGGCGAAGAAATCCTCCAACTCCACTCCAAGAATGCCCTCAAATCGCCCTCTCTCTCTTTGGTTCGTCCCTTGGGTGTTTGGGATCCAAAACCCAGCTCTCCCTCTCCTTTGGCTTGAATTTGCGTTAAAAAACCTTATTCTGGGCAAAACACGGTCGAGGGCACGGCTGTGCTTTGCTTTTGACCGCCCGTGTTTTGCCCCTTGTTAAAAACACGCTCGCGCGCGTCGGTCAAAACACGGTCGTGCCTAAATATGGGCACGGCCGTGTTTTGATTTAGGCGCGCCCGTGTTTTTACTGCCGAACCTGTTCCCCTATATTCAATGCTTCGTTTCTCCCTCGTCCGGACTCCGAATCAGTCGCCATTTGATCCCAGATGCTCGTAGTCTCGTCCTCTTTCTTTTCATGACAAGCTTGCATGATTCTTTGTCCATAAAGTGAGGTAGAAATTCATTCTTCTTCAGGTCATGCCCGAGTTTCTTCTCCCTAATCGCCAATTGATCTCTGATTGACTTGAAACTTGCGCCTATGCTTCACTTTATGTGCTAGGACCTGAAATGTGACAAAGGAACACAACCTAGCGTAAAATAGGCCAAAGACGCAATAATTAAAGCTCAAACAATCAAGAAACAAAGGGGAAAACATGTGCAAATATCGAGTCATCATCTGCCCGTAACTCCAAAAATCCTTCTGGAACTGTGCATTGTCCACTCTCCAGTTACGACTCCTTGAGGGGAGTTACGAGCCAGACAGTAACTTGAAAGGTCTGACAATAACTCTCAGGTGCTCACTGCCCAGTCGCTCTAGAATGTCCCGAAACTTGCTCCTTCGCGCCTGGTCACGCACTAAGGGCTGAAACATCATAAACTCACACGCACGAGCGTAAAACAGGCCACGAGAGCAATAAACCTGCCTCAAACGAACAAGAAATGATGGGAAAAACATGTTCGAATATAGTGTTATCAGTAGCAAACAAGCTCATCGGC